GAGCAGGGTGAAAAATAAGTCTATTTTAAAGTCACGCCCGCTGCATGTTCGTAGTAAAAAATGTCTTCCATGTTTTTATCGAAAACATCACGTATTTGCATGGGTTTGTCCGGGAACGGAAAAAAAATTAATCGAACGTGTTTATGACGGATAAACATTGACAAAAAACACCTCAATATTGACAGCAAAACTACAATCACGTCCAAAAATTATCGAGACAACAACGCAACTCCCCCCCCCCCCATTTCCCCCAATTTCTCCTCAACATTGTCTACGCGGGGGCAACTTCAATAGAAGATAAAAGTAGGAAAGTCTCATATCACTTGATCGTATGTTAGTGCCCGTTTAACACAATTTTTGGTGTTTTAAAGTGCACATACAGCGCGCGATTTGGAATTTTACATATTTGTAATATTCAGACCGATGAGGCGACGTTTTTCTCTAAGAAAATATATTGTATTTCGTTTTAGAATCAGTGCTGAATATCACAAATATGTAAAATTCCTAATAACTGTGTGATGTTATTGATGTTTTAATCTTCTTAAATGTCTCGTTTAAGCAGACAAAAGAAAGACAAAGGAAAGCTAATTTGCAATCAATCAGTAGAAGAAGACTGAGGTCACTTTTCTGTATTGTCTACAGACATTCCAACTAGTCGAGGTAAAATTTAGGGAGACTGTTCAGTGAATTGAAATCTTGTTCTTCTTTGAAAAAATTTTAAAACTTAAGTCTGAAATGGCGTTTCCTGCATTTTGGGAAGATGTTGTTATAAGACTTATAAGTGATCCTCAGATAAATTGCCATAAAGTAACTTCATAAAACTGGTCAAAACAGACTATTATGTTGCTAAAAACAGTATGTTTATGATTTTTTTACGATATTTCCCGAATATTCTGAAAAATCTGGAGAATTTGATAAAAATCGGGAGACCAGGAGATTGTATGAACTTTCAGGAGACTCCCGGTAAAATCGGGAGAGTTCAGTGGCGGCGCCAGGGGGGGCAAGGGGGGGAAAATGCCCCCCAGAATTATTTTTTGCCCCCCCCCCCATTTTGCCCCCCCTCAAAAAAAAATATTAGTCACTAAGAGCGACTAAAGGCTACACAAGCGTTCTGTCGTTATCGGAAAATGTATGGCTTATAAGTTGTCATTACTCATTAGTGAATGCGCGTATACATGAAACTGTTTTACAGTTTCAATATTAGTTTGTAAATCTCTGAATGGTAAAACTTGCCAATACTCCAATAATACGTTTCAAAAAAAGACAAAAAAGCTTTAGTTTTGCAGAGTTAAATTCTCAAACGTGTAAGGCAATAATAAGATGAAAGTATCACGAAATTATTTGAATAAACCACATCGCATATAAGGGGGGCTAATGTCCTAAAGAGGGGCGATATTCCTAGGGTATTCGCCCCATCCCCCTGGGAGGCGATATTCCTAGGAATATCGCCACGTTTTGAGGGGGGGGGGGCGAATTTCCTGGGGGGGGGGCGACCTTTTTAAATATTCTATCTTGCCCCCCCAAAATTCGAGTTTGCCCCTCAAATGCCCCCCCCCCCAAATTTGGAAGCCTGGCGCCGCCACTGGGAGAGTTGGAATGTCTGTGTCTATGACCTCGTTCCCACACTCTTTTCTTTAAAGTTTATTGTTAAAGATGAAGTTTTTAGCTACAAGATATGTTACATTCCTCCTTGCTGTTCTTAGAATGAAGTCTAATTGGCTAATTGGGTTTGTGGAAACGAGATTGCGCAATATTGTAGATATGACGTCACATTCGGGCGCCATCTTTAAAAATCTTGTCAACAAATCTTCAAGAGCATTTTTATAAAATGGATCGAATTATGGGCAAAAAACTTGTCCGACTGGACCTTTTGAGTTTGATTCCATGTCAGTGTATACATGCAAACGTATATAAGGAAGTTATTGTATATTAAACATTTGATTTTGCATGGCTTTTGTTGGGGAAAATACAAATTTGCTCAGAAGTTGTCAGGGGCTTATATTTCTCGAATATATGACGGCTTTTATAACTGTTGAACATCTCGTATGATGTCTCATAATCCAAGTGAAGTCTGTCTCATCGATGCAAACGTTACATCCATTTCCAAACTTAATCTTCGGCCTTCGGTGATATCATTGAATCTTCATTGTAATTTGTTGAAAAGCATTGAAGGTTTGGCTAGCCTCAGGAATTTAAAACATTTGGATCTGTCTTCTAATGCCATTGAAACGATTACTGGCCTTGAGGGATTGAAATTTTTAAAGTATCTTAATCTGTCATGTAACAGAATTACTGTGGTTGAAGGTCTTGAATCTTTGAGGTTTGTATATATTAAAATTTCGAACAATTTACAGAGCTGTAGTCACCGGTACGGTTGGTCTGGTTTCAAATGGACCATTTGCTGGTGCACCGAGAAGATATTTAATAGATTGGCCTTGCCAACTTTATGATACAACTGTATGATAAGCTTCAAATCCATGTCTAATCATGGATTTGGGGCTTATCCCGATCCACCTTGTCAACATTTCCTATGGGAGGAAACCTGATATATGAAGTGGCTATACATGTACAGCCAGCTATTTAGTAAACTGCTGGCTATATAGTGACTATAGTTAAAGTTGAATTTTTATAAGATAAACCGATCCCAACCCCAAACCCTTCTCTAACCCCTAACCTTTTGAAAGTTAGAAAAGGTGAAAAAAAAGTTTAAAAAAATTTTAAGAAAAAAATGCTAAGTCAGACAAAATACAACCCGACTCAGACTGTGTTTCACTTTCCGCATGCAGCGCCTTTACCGTATACGCTAACAGCAAGCTCAGTAAAGGCTAGTGCAAACAAAAGTTTTTATATTTAACTATAGTTTGCTAAATAGCCGGCTGTATAGTCACTTTGAACCATGTAAGTGACCCCTCCATCCAGAATCAAAACCACAATCTGAGGTGAGAGATGATTGTGCCAATGAAGCCCTTGAGCCACTGAAGCCCTTGAAAGTTTTTGCCTTTTATGCTAATCAGTTAGTTCATAATCCGGCCATCATGACCCCAGTTTAAAATTATAACAAATTATATGTTACAAACATTCCATGAAAAGAGGGATGATTTTGATCTATTGAAATAGGTCTGGTTATTTATTCAGCAAAATTTCATTTTCTGTTATGTAGTGCAGATTTCAAAGTCATTGAAAGCAAAAGGCGATTTAATCAACACCATAGGATCTGTTCAACATCATTTTTGCACTACATATGGTTGTTTGATGGTTTTCACTGGTTTCCAACCATCAAACTGACATTAATATGTCATTTGATCAATTTCTAAAGTTGATCTTTTTGGATTTATTTTATTATTTTGGTTAGAGTTGGGGTTAGGGTTAGAGTAGGAGTAGAGTTTGGGTTAGTTATATAGCTATTTAACACCTTATCCATCTTCCAAAAATGATGTCACTACTGCCAGTTTGGTAGATTGAAACAAGTGCTGACCTTCTTTGACTGTTCACTTATGCCTACAGGTAGTGAATTATTTCAATACATCAAAATCACCCCACCTTTTGTCCCATGCTTGCAAAGCAAGACCACATAATTTATTATACATAGTATGTGAACAGCCCCTAAACTATCCATCTGTCTATCTTGAAAATATTAGACAATTAAAATTCTTTCTAGACAATTGGCAAAACTTGATCTATCCTACAACCATATCTCGGACTTATCTGGCCTGAAGTCATTAGCTGCCGGCCCCTCCTGTTTGGCGACACTCCACCTTCAGGGCAATCAGATACAATCAATCGATCATATTATTGATTGTCTGGATGATTTCAATAACTTAAAAGACTTAGTGTTCTCACAGAACGAGGACACTAACCCTGTCTGCAATCATCCTAAGTACAGATCTCTACTTTTGTCAATGCTTGGTAAAATTGAGGCTTTGGATGGCTTTGATAGGTCTGGTCAAGCTGTGGGATCTGACTACTGGTCTGATCATCTGGGGCTAACAGGTAATTTAGGTTTTTGAATTTGAAGACTATGGTTCTACTTAGAGCTTTCAGAAGAGAGTCCGGACAGGGTAAATTGGAACTGGGATTTGCCTATTTTGGACTGGGAAATGGGCAGGCCTGTAACTAGCTATGAGTCAACTTCAGGAGTCAGTTGACTCGATAAGATTTTTTGTGAAAAAAATCAAAACAGGAAGACTTCAAGTTTAGAGAAAACAGATCCCGAATGAAATTCATTCAATTTCTGATAAAGGATTGAAGTAC